TTCGTGATATTTAATGGATCGGATTACATTTTTTATTTTTCTCCGATATCCGATCCAGTAATTTAGGTCAGTATCGGACCGATACCGATACGTAATATTGGATCGGTCCATCTCTATCCAATACTAGTGCCAAACCGGTACTTTTGAAACAGTGCCAGTGCTCAAACGGTGCTAGAACTGGTGCTTAAAGAATGGAGAACACAAAAACCTCTTATGTTTTTATTTTTAGCAGTCTTTTGTTTTATGGTTACTCCACCGTTGAAAATGGATGGAGATCTTTGTCTATAAATTTTGTCGCTGCCCTATGAATTTCGTCCACTTTTTCTTTGGTAATTTTAGCCTTTTTGGCCAGGGTTAAAGGAGTATCTGCCATCAAACAAGAAGACAGCCGCATGTAACTATGACTGTGTTTGCTAGTTCACCTTACATGCATTAATTTAATAACGTGGTTAGCCTACTCAACGTAAATTACACACAGACAACATTAAGCTACTCGCCCAGAGAAGAACGGCTGCTGCTCCCTAATCAGTAAAGTAACGGGATTACGTTTTTGGGGAAGTAATCAGTAATTAGTAACTGATTCAAGATGGCAAAGCGATTTCGGATCTCAGCGTTATATCGGTTGCGGAAATCGCAATCCTTGAGCTTGGCAACATCGAAAGGGCGTACGCGGCAAGCATCTTGTCTTGTTCGTTTGAGCCGCAACTGGAGCTTTGCCATAACAAGATAGTGGTCAGACCCAACATCCGCGCCGCGTCGAGTGACTACGTCAGCAGTAGCTGACCTCCATCGCCTCGATATGCAAATGTAGTCGATCTCATTTGCTGTTAGACCACCAGGGCTTTTCCACGTCTTCTTGTGAATTTGCTTATGATGAAAGTATGAGTTCCCGACGCAGAGATTGTTTGCCGCACAGAAACTAGTCAATCGCAGGCCATTGTCATTTGTATTCGCGGCCGATCCATGCGGGCCAATCATCTGCTCAAAGCCATTTCGATCAGGTCCAATCTCTGCGTTGAAGTCGCACATGAGTATGACGATGTCATGCCGGTGCACCTCGTCCAGAACCATTTGAAGCTCGTCGTAGAAGGCGTTCTTGTCCATATCATCGGTGTCCTCGGTCGGAGCACAAACTTCAATCACAGTGGTTTTCTCATGGGTGGAGATAAATCTTGCCACGATCAGTTGTTCAGAGACTGGTCGCCAACTGACCAGTGCGGCTGCCACTCGTTCGCCCATTTCCAGTCCATCTTACCTTGCTCAGGCCCAAGATGTCCAACATGTATCGCTCAAACTCGCGCAGCACTTGTGCTAACCGTCCACTCTGGACTAAAGTTCTGACATTCCAAGTCATCAGACGGCGCTCTTCACCGCTAACATCTCGTATTCGATATTTCTCTCTTGTCGTTTCCGTAGCGGTAAAAGTTTTTATGGGGTCGAGTTGCTAGCCCAACGCCCAACCCTCCTCCTTTCTCATCCGGGCTTGGGACCGGCCATGGTGGAATTCAGGAAAGAAAAAAAAAAGCACCGAAATAAAGCACCGAAATGTGCGTTGCTTTTTGGTCTGGTTACTACCGTTTATGTCAGATATCGGTACCCATCCCCAGCCAGCAGTCAAATTGCACTTTTGGGATGATATGGTACTATGAGGCATAGTTTTTCAACATAACTCTGGGACAGGATGTTTCTGATTTTAGAGATATTGTGGAGCAGGGAAATTATTTTACTGCTATTGTTAAATAATCATCATCATTACCATTGCATTAATAATATAATCTGCAGGATTGATATTGTATTCAGAGGTTTAAACAGTGTGTGTCTTTTAGAAAGACTAAGTTGCAGCCTGACAGGAAGTTGCAGAGAGTTTGCAGAAGTGAAAGCAGAGTCTAAGTTATTCTGAGCAGGTTAGACGAGGCTATTTGAATTACTAGGTTATTCAAATTGTCTGTTATACTTTTATATTCTTT